ATGTTCTTAAGGGTCCTTTCCAACCTAAATGACTCTATGATCATGAGTACGTAGGAAACCATATTCATGTTCAGTCTAGACAATCTCAGAAGCTAATTCCCACAAATCAGCTGAAGAGATTTTTGGTTGGTTGTTGGTTGTTTTTTTAATTTGTGTGTTGGTTGCACCCCATCTGTATCTGTTCTGTATTTTGTAAGCCTCGTGGGCAGGTGCTCTCTCTTCGTGTTTCCACAGTGCCTGGCAGTGACTCATAACTGGGAGTCCAGGTTCCACCAAAATGCAGTAAGTACAAGAGTGACCTGGATCTCCTGTGAACTACTTTGTCCAAAGCGTTAGCTGTAATACCATCAAATGTGCGGTCAATTACATGTGTAAACTTTACTATTAAAATAATTGTGTGTGCTGTGAATAATAAATCATGTTACAGTAAGAAGCTGGATTGCTTTGATCCTAGGTAACGATGTCAGATTCCAGCATGTCTTTTGACTGGAAATGGCTGATCACTGCAGAATGGATTCGGTGACTCAACTCTCATTGGACTCGAGACAAAACATCTTGTGCTCACACTAATCTATGTTTCATGTCTGTGGCTTTAAATTATGACACAATAACCTGTTCTCTGTCAAAGTCTGTTTAATTTCTCAAGGAAAATCTTAAAACATTAATTACTAAAAAGCCTCATGGCTTCCTCTTGCAACCGTAGTACAACTGTAAGCTGTCAGTACTTTGTAACTTGCAGCAGCGATTAAAAAGAGGCTGTACACAAAATCACAGAGTAGTTGAGGTAGGAAGGGACCTCCAGGGTTCATCTAGTATAACCTCCTCTGCTCAAAGTGGGGTCAACAGAGCAAGTACTCAAGGCTGTGTCCATAGGGGTTTTGAATATCTCCAAGGGTGGAGACTCCACAACCTCTCTTGGCTTGCTGTTTCAGTGTTTGACCACCCTCATAATATCAGTTTCTTCAGTGCAGCTGCATGCGGATCTCTGAATTCTTCCTGTTTGCTCCCCTGGCTGCATGCATTAACGTACTGGTACTTCAGAGGCACCTAATGATGATGATTTCCCAGAAAAGGTACAAGCACTCTGCCCATTTTAAAGCTCTCCTCACTGGGTTGACCAGCCTCTTTTGCCCCATTTTTCTTTCTTATTCAAGCAACTTGAGACCAGAGGAGCCACATGCAAAACCGTATGTGACTTAGGTACAACAATACTGATAAAAAAGGATGATGAAGAATATTTGTGTGAAGAACAGTGATAGGAGCAGGCAAGGTGAAAAGTCAGTAAACAGGGAAATAACCCCCTCTCCACTGAGAAAATATTTCAACAAAAAAGGAGAATATGAAGAGATGCATGCTTCTGACATTTAATTAATCTTTAAAATCTTTGATAGAAATACCTGTAAAGCTCTCAGCTCTCAGCTATTGACACAATTTGGCTGAACTTGTGCGTGTGTGTGTACACACACATATGCATACATAGATGGCCAAAGAAAGTACTTATTAATGAATAAAAATTATTTGACTCTACTTAAAAAAGAATCTACAAGATATATGACTCACACTGTGTGTGATTATCAAACTGAAACATTTATACAGCATTTCTCCCACAGCTTTTTAAAATTATGAACAACTAATATAGAGTTAAATTCTGTTCTGTATCACGGGTAGCTTATTACAGCATGTGTTTTAATAGTTCTTCTTGCACCCATGTGTCAGATTAAATGGTAGAAATGCCAACTGGATGATAGCTTAGTATCATTTCTGGAAGTATTGGCTTTTAAAGTTAATCTTCAATGGGATGCTTTACTATAGGCATGTGCATACATTAGATAACCTTGGCATGCAGAGAGTATTTTAAGACCCACATAATTTTGAAACACCCTTTAATATTCATTGAAGGTCATGATACATTCCATGCACATAAGATTAGAAATCAGACCTTCCAGGCTTATTTTACTTCTTCGGTTAGATGCCAGACTGGGAGCCCACAGCAATGTATTTTGTTTTTCTGTAAGGCAGTTAAAGTGACACAACAAGCTTTTCCTTGCTCCTCCACAAACATCTGAGCCCTGGTCCAGGGCAACCACCTCACTGTCTTCACAAGCTTACTTGTAAGCTGAGATTTCCAAAACAAGTGCTGCCAATTAATAATGTATACTATTATGGATCTGGGGATCTTGAAGTGTGAGGTTAGAAAATTCACGTTAGTAACTGAACTCCAGCATCTGGTGCTACCAGTACTGTCCAGAATCAACCTGTTAAACCACAGGCAATACTATCTATACCTACTTCTGTTATCAATTTCTATTTATTCACTGATGACACAAAAAAATTAACAGATGCTTCCTTAAGCTTTAAGTTTAATCAACATAAATTTTATATCCACAAAAGACTAATCATCTGTAATTCAGAGATTTTGTAATAACGTGCTTACATATTTTCATGTTGAGTTAGCTGCCTCTTAGAAGAAGGAAGAAGTGCATGTAAAATTAGATTCAAAGTAGTTCCATGAAATGTATCTGGCCCCTTTATGCGACAGCCTGCTACACCGGGGAGAGGAAAAAGGCAAATCCTAGCCTTGATGTCAAAACAATGTAAACTACTTCTTGTATGTTGACTTGTGTAACAAGTGAGGCATGAAAACAAAGCACAGTGCCCTGAGTGGTGACAGTGAATATTTTATCTTACCAACAAAAATCAACAAGAGGCTAAATCCTTAAAGCATATGCCATGCTGACAATGCGCTCTCATTGTGACAGTAATGGTATTTGCAGTCCCAGCTGCACTCAAGCCTGTGCTGTAAAACCACCCATTTCTCAGAATGCATGTTGCTGCCTTTTACCCTTTACTGGCCCTTAGCCAGATGAAGGAGCTGTTCTCTGTTGTTCATGCTGCCCTGTATAAGCAGATGTTTAAACAATTTTTTTGCCCAAAGTGAAATTGGAGAGATTTTGGCATCATTAGTTCTTCTGAAATTTTCACAGTGCCAAAAAGTATCTTTAGGTGACTTTAGGCTTTTTGTATGTAAACCAGCCTTTCTCTGACTTTTTATGAATATCCACCTTGAATGCCGTTCTAAAATTCAGTGGCTGGATCATCGCAGAAATGTTGAAGCAGGAGTACCACTGCTGTTGCTGTGATTCAGTTGTTTGAGTGTGGTTGGTAAGAATATTTAGCGGGTGACTTTGGTCTGGGAGTAGCAGGTACTCGCCACTTTCTGTCGGGGATTTTTTTGACCAAGTCTAATGAGATAAGAGTTAATGAGTTGATTAGGGACAAAGGAAGATGCTGCTCTGGGAGTGCATTTGAATGTGTGCGCTCTACGTTTTTTTCCTAGAACCCACTTGCTCAGTGTTCTCTCCAGGCTGAGTCATGAGATTCAAAGGGAATTGGAGAATGTTGCTTATAAATTATGGAGTTACTGCCTCATGGTTACCATCCTGTCATGAATAACATCAGACTACCCTTCACAACTCATCTTTTTCTCCTGACTTTTGTCAACTTGTAAGGTTTCTATATCCCTGGCAGTGTTCAAGGCACGTTGGATGGAGTCTTGGGTGACATGGTTTAGTGTGAGATGTCCCTGCCCATGGCAGGGGGTTTGGAACTAGATGATCTTAAAGTTCCTTTCTAACCCTAACTATTCTGTGATTCTATATCCCCTGCATAAGATTGTTCTCCATACTGCACTGATTCTCAGTCCAGGTCTTTTGTGTGGAGTCCCAACAGTCCTATACCAGTTTCTTGTTTCCTACTTCATATTTGGGTAATTCGGGAAGTTTTGAGTGATTCGCTAAAGTGATTACATGGTAACATTTCAAGACATCCTACTACTGCTTTGGAGAGACAGCTTTGGAGAACCTGGGTGGAGAGCTCTAAAGGGAGTGAGAAAGTAATGTGTCAGGTGAAAAAATGTGTTCATGGTTTGTGGTGTGGTACAGGAGGAGTAAGCAGAAGGCACAGATTAAATACTGAAATTATGCACAATTTGTGTAATTGCTGCTAAATGTGACTGAGTTCTGTGTTATCCAGAACTAAGAGCCAACAAGCGGGTCACTTCCAGCTCTGCTTCATTCTTAGGTTCAGTTTTCTATTTCAGAGCTACTGACAGGCTGCTGGGCACCCTGTCCACCTCCCATAGTCAAAACTGCAGAAGAGCCTCCAGCTGCTCCAGGGTCCCAGGCAAGCTCTGTGTCTCCACTCAAACCCAAGATGCACACCTCCCTGCAGAAGATGTCATTAGCCTGAATAGCAGTCACCCCAGCAGGAGAACGAAAGCTTTTCTACCTTTTAGAAGTGGGGCTGCTCAGGTAGATATGCCCAACATAGTTTTAATCCAATTAGTTGAGGTACCAGTGGCAAGTGAATCTTAGTAGCACACACTTTATGCTCAAGCACCCAAACCTGCTTAGGTGCTGGCTGCAGGCAGGATTCTTAGCTCCCACATATTCATTGCTATCAGTACCTAATCTTGGTGAATTTAAATTGGGAATTATCAGTATTACTGCAGTCACATTTCTGACTGTACTGTAGGTATCCTTTTTATCCACACACTGTAAGCAGCATGATATAAATACTACGTAGATTTAATAGAAACATTACATAGATGGGTCAAAATAATAATTAAAAAAATGCAAATAAGTTTCTTTATTAACTTGCTAAAATGTAAATTACCATGTATCCAAAAGACCAGTTTTCCCTTCCAGTATCCACTGATGTCCCAGATATAGCTCTAGAAAAGAAATTTCTGAATAAGGTTTTGTTTCCATTCATTCACTGGCTAAACCCTCTAGAAGCATCAGTGTGGCTTCTGACCCAGTTGCTTCTGACCCTAAGTTTAAGCTCTTTTCCCAAGCAACTATCAAGCAAAGAAAGTCCTAAAATAATAGGGGGGGGGAAACAGTGCCATGGAGAAAAGTTTAGTGGGATTGAGAGGAGAGGATAGCTTTTCATCTAGCAATGCCCTAAGTTTATTGTAACTTTAAACTTCTGTTTTACAGATTGACTCTCCAGTCAAGCTCTACATGCGTTTCTTAAAGTAGCCTCGATCTCCCTATGGACTCAACAGAAGTATCACGAAATGGCATTGCTTGCTAGGAATGCAGAGCCTGAGTTCAGCTCCTACTCCTTCAATAACTTGGAAAACCTGTGTGAAGTCCAAACCAAGAAAGGATTCTTCTACACAAAGGCCAAACTTCTGCACCCAGGGGAAGACTTGTGCTATTTAGCCCGCCTGGATGACCAGACGAGGTTTGTGATCATCAATGTAGGTGGTATTAAATACAAAGTTCCATGGACCACCTTGGAGAACTGCCCCTTGACCAGGCTTGGGAAACTAAAATCTTGCAACAATTATGATGAGATCATGAACATCTGCGATGATTATGATGTTAGCTGCAATGAATTCTTTTTTGACCGTAATCCTAGTGCCTTCAGGACAATCATGACTTTCCTGGCAGCTGGGAAGCTGAGGCTTCTCAGGGAGATGTGTGCTCTTTCTTTTCAGGAAGAGCTTGTGTACTGGGGGATAGAAGAGGACCACCTGGAGTGGTGCTGTAAAAAGAGACTGCGACAGAAAGAGGAGGAGGCAGCTGAGGCCAGACTGTATGAAGGGGAGCTGGTGTTTAGTGAAACTACGCAATGTGCCTTCCAGGACAATAGCCGATTGAGTTTGTGCATGCGAAAGCTCAGGGATATGGTGGAGAACCCCCACTCAGGGATCCCAGGAAAGATCTTTGCTTGTATTTCAATCTCTTTTGTTGCCATCACTGCAGTCAGCCTCTGCATCAGCACCATGCCAGATGTCAGAGAAGAAGAAGATCGGGTGAGTTCAGCTTTTCTCAGAGTAAAGTGTGTTTTGCATTATTATCTCCTCAGGGAAGGTGATGGGCACACTCAGTCCAGCAATCATGCAGGTATTGCATTCAGTATTTATGATGTGGAGGCCTGGCCAGGCACAGAAAGCATTCTGCCACTTAACATTGATCAGGCCAAACTCTGCTTTGCCAACACAGCTTTGCCAGTCACAGCATCAGACAGCTTTACCCAACAGATTTGTTTACCCAACCAGATAACAAACTAGCTGTTGTGGATATAAAAATCAGCTTTGCGTGACACTTGATGCTTTGTTACATTAAGAGCTAGCAAATCAGTTTTCCTGAAAAGTTACTTGAACATACCACTTTGAATGAACCCTCAGTACTCCACTGTAAAAAACACATCTAAAATATTTTGATGCTATAGGTGAGGTAAAGGGCAGGGAAGCTGAGGCAGCAATTTAACAGCAGAAACAAAGCAAATGTCCCAATTTCAGACGTGCTTAGTATTCTCGAGTGTAAGCTATGGATGCTTCATGCCCTTGAAAATAAAGTCTTATGGATATTTTGTTTATTCTTCAGTTCAACAGATTTCCTAAGGGTTTAGTCCCTTATTTGTGCAAGCAGTTCAGTTCCCTAGGATTAGCTGTATGTAGGCCAAAGAGAGCTACTCTGGAGATAGATAGATGACATTCACATTCTCATTAAATATGTGCTGAAATGCAATCTGAGGGGTTTGGAGGATGAGGACTTTTCAGAGTTTATGGCCTCTTTAGTTTTACTCAGTTCCAAGCTTGATACTAAATGTTTAGGTTTATTTCCCAGCCCCATGGTCATTAAATGTGATTATGAACTTCAGCTACTTCACCCGATCAAGTTCTGCCTCACAGCTGAAGGCTAAGCTCTCCTGAAAGCAGAATCCTCTTGTGTGCTGTCACCAGGTGCTGAATGGCTCACCACACTGCCACTAGCAGAAAAGAGAATGACAGGAAGCATTTACTGTTTTGTAGCATTGAAAGTAAAAAACCTGCCAATGGAAAATTAGTCCAGCAGCTCCAGAGAGACCCCTGCGTTTGACTGAGTACCTCAGGTGCAGTTAAACTCACCCTTTGCTTGCCATGTATTCTTAGGTTAGATGTCAGCTGAGTTGGTTGATCTGGAGTAAGTCATTCAGTAGCGGCCAGGAGAGAAAAGGCAAAATGTTTGGTATGTTGTTTGATATTTGGTTTGTTATAAGACCTTTGTTTTAAAGGCTTTTATGATCTAAAATTTGAGGATAGTAGTGTTGCGTACTAGGTAAAACTATGTTGTCCCAATAATTTTTTTTTAAATACTTATTCCAAAACACATATCTTTTACTGTAATTAACCATCAGTGCTCCATTATTCTGGACTTTAAAGCACAAGGGATATTTTGCAGTTCAAAACTGAGATGTGTTTAGTGTTTAGATGCTCCTGGGTTTAAGTGAGAGCTGAACAATTGCTTTCAGAATTACCAGTTTAGGTACCTTACGTTTTTACTAATGATCTGAACATAAATAGGAAGCCACAATAGTAGGCTTATATTTGTTAGGTAGAACAGGGTAATAATGAGGGTAGAGCAAACATATGAGAGAAGCCTGGATTTCATGGTTAGTTGGGGCCATTAGAAGGAGCACATTTTCATAGTCAAATGAAGAATTGTACAATAAAGGTGAATGCAGACGTGCTCTTGCAAAAGCAGAGCATGTGATTCCCAACACAGGAATCTAAATATGATTTAGGGTACAAGCAACTGAATGTGAATTCCTATTGCAACATAAAGTCAGAAGGGTTAATGTGATCCTTGAACATCTAAGCTGGGGAATAGTGATTAGAAGCTGGAAGATGATTTTGTGCCTGTATGCGGCATTGGTGAGACTGACACAAAAATTCTGCAGTCAGTTCTCACACTGCTTTGAAAAACTGGAGTGGGTGAAAAAAACTATAAATATTAGAGACCTGGAGAAAGTGCCATATAATAAGAAACTTGAGCATTTCAGTTTATTTAGATTGTTGAAAGGAAGGTGACTGCATTAAGCAAGTAAGTGTTCTTTATGGGAAGAGGAGAACTGTATCATCTAAAAGACCTTTAAATTAGGAAGAAGATGCATGGTTAAAAGCTGAATCCTGGTAAATTCGCATGGGAAACTATGTGCCAATATTTAATATCATGGTGATTAATTACTGGGCAGTCTAGGAAGAGAATTACAGGAATTTGGTTTTTTTTGATGTTTTCAGTTCAAGGCTCAGTGCCCTTCTGGAAAGTAGCGTTCAGCTAAACACACTCTACTTCAATCAAAGTAAATTACTGATTTCAGTTCTTGTTACAAAGGTGAAATGCTTGGAATACAGAAGAGTTCAGAATAAATTATGTTTTTCTGTGCCCTTATATTCTAAAGGCACAGAACCCCTGCAAATAGGTTTTGTTCTGCCCTTTACACAGGGAAGGTCTGTGGACAGAGCAGAAATGGTTACTTTGAGACACACGTGGTTCTTCGGCACAGAGGACAGGTGAAGAATCACTTCTCACATAGCTTAGTTCATCTGAAGTGCTCCTCCCTGGCCAATGAATTAATGCAGGTCAACACTCTATTGGAGTTGTAATTAGCCATGCCCAGAGTCATACGCAGTGACCGATTTTGGTCCTGCACAAATGGATGTAAATACCCATGTAGATCTTTTCAGCCTCAGTAACGCTAGGCATGGAGTAAGGCATCTGCCCACATGGAATTGCTTGTAGTATCACAGACCTAGGCTGCAAACTCTTTGAGTATCATCTGTACATGTCTCATCAGGCCAAAGCAGCTCATCAAGTAACAGGTGTGGAGAGAAGAGAATGAATTCAAAGTAATGTTAATCATACTGAGTTGTATCTTAGTACCTAGTTTAAAATTCGTTTCCAGGGATAGCTCTTTGGTCTGATTTTGCAGTCTCCTAACAAGCTGAAAATGTATGTGCATCCCTCTTGGCTAAGGAACAAATAAACAATATTATTTCAGGGAGGCACTGTACTTCATGTGTACATTTTCCAGGTTCTCCAGCTAACATTACTGTTCTTAGGGTTCCATGTCAGAGCTGTCACAGATACTCTGCCTAACAAGCAGTGGTCTTTTGCTTCAGCTGGCATTTTCCAGAAAGCAAACACTTTATGTTCCACCTATCTATCCTGTTACTGCTTCAGGGAGAAAAAGAGGAACCAATTGTGAAAAAAATCATGCTGGAGAACAGCTTTTCATACCCTGATCTCTTAATGTCATCTGAATGGACCAGCTGTTACACTTGGTGATGTCCTGCAGAGGTGTAAATGACCTTACATAGATGTAAGTGTGGGACCTTAAACATTAGAGGTAATTATCAAGTGAGTGAGGAGGCTATTTTAGGAGCCTGCCTATCTTTTTCGAATACAGAAGTATCAATCATACATTTCATTAGCTTTTTTACTGTTCCAGATGTTCTAGATGACAGTGGCAATCCCTAGTGGTTTAGCAAGAGTGGGAAGGATCATGTTCCCACATACTGTAGCTGTCTTGTTCTCACTGATGGTCATCCTGATTCATCTTGAGCCTTATCCTTTTTTGGAAGTAGTATCGCATATTTCAGGTGCTATACAATTATCAATAAAGCTAACAGAATCAGATCCTAAACTAGTTTTTAGTTACCAAACTAGCACATATTTTATCTCGCTGAGTTGTTGGGTTTTTTTCCCCCTCATTTAGCTTGTATTTACTGATTAAATTAAATGGAAACCACCAATCCAGTAATGCGCATAACAGCTGCTGCTGGAAATTTGAGGAAAGGGACATTTCAAACACACACAAAACCCAAATGTTTGAAGAGGGTCAGGTTCTTCCAGGTAAGGTAACAAAGCAATAATCAATTTTTCATTTGGAAATTTTCAGAAAGAGAGATTTCTATGCAAGATCTAGATTGAATGGTGAAAAGTCCCCTCTGAGACAAAATACTGCTGAAACAAAATCATAGCAAGAGCATGCAGGCACTGAGCTCTTTCAAGACCACCACAAAAATGATCTCTAAGGCATCAAAATAGTCAGAGGCATAGAGTATCCTTAAGGCATTTCAGGCATATGATGCCCCCCTTCAAGTGAGCTTCTCAACTCTCTAAACAAATGGCAGGCATCAAGTGACTTAAGGAAAGCAGCTAGAACATCACAGGAGGCTTAAACCAGTTGGGGATACATTACAGCAAGAGCTTTAACAATGCAGTAAGAGCTGAGCAACCAAAAGACATGGAGAGATTCAACTTGGTGAAAATGAATGTTGACCATTTCTATGCAAAGAAGAAATCTTTCTTTTGTTAGACTTTCTCACCACAGAAAAAAATGTGGTGAACTCTGATTAACATCAAGTATTTTGTCCTGGCTCACAAAAGTATTTATAGGCTTGAGTTCCACTGAGCTCAATCATTTGTAGCACCACAGTGCAAAACAGGAGGAGATCAGAGTGTACTTCCTTCTTCACCGTGCTTTCTAACGGACTGGGAAAAGCTAGTCTAATTAAAGATACTGTGATAGGAAGTTACAGTTCAATAACCTTCAGCTGAAGAATGTTATAGCAGAAAGAGTCATAAATAATGAAGTTAAGGATAGCTCACAAAGAAGCTTGAAACTATTTAACCTTTTAAGCTTAATTTAAACACTTGTGCTTCAGCTTTCATATCAGTGAGGATGGGGAATAGATGAATTGTGAATAGGAGTTTTAAGAAATCTTGTGACTAAAGATCTCATTTCACAAAGGTACACACAAAAGTAATTTCAGACAAGGTCAAGAGAGTCCTGTATGATTCTCAACATCTTTTCATAGATCAGCCGTTGGTGTAAGGGCTGGATGAGCAATGAGGTCAGTTGAAAACTGGCTGAACAGCGAGGCCCAGAGGATAGTGATCAGTGACAAAGTCTAGTTGGAGGCCATTGAATAGTGGTGTACCCCGGGGTCCATACTGAGTCCATTCCTGTTCAACATCTTCATTA